TTCCCATGCACAGGTCTCACCTTCATGGCGACAACATCATCCCTCCACGTGCACATCGTCCACCAATCAGCGCACACTCTGTGGACAGCATGGGGCGGATGGGATACGGAATGCAGTCAAATGGTGTCATGCGACGGGATCAGGTGGAAGTGCTGGAACGTCAACTTGGTGGACAGAATGGAGATATGCGGCGCACGGTACAGCTACCTCGACCGTCAACCATGCCTACTCTCTTCGACCCCGCACCACGTGAATATACGGACGAAGACAAGGAACGACTGTCACGCAAAATGGTGGGAGCAACGGTGGACAAGGCATTCACCACCACTCCGTTTGACGGCTCAAATTTCCGCGAATGGGCACTACGGTTTCGTATGAACGCCCGCGTCACGAATCTGTGGGAGTTCTTTGTGACCCTGCAGTATCCGGTTACCATGGGAGATGGTGACATTGACGACGCTATGGGGCGGCTGGAAATGCTACAGGCGGATTACTCCCAGCGTGCGGCACTCGCCTTTTGGGTCCTATTGCACAGCGTGAGCGCCACGATTCAACTACAGCTAGACATGTTCCAGGAATCCTACAGCCTGGCTTATGAAGCATGGGAGTATTTGATGGACACTTACCAGGCCAAAGATTCGGTGGCGAAGGTCTCTCTCTTGAAGCAGTTGGACAACCTGAAAATGGGGAACACCGAAAGGGTGGAGGAGTACGTCAACCGCGCAACAGCAATCCGGGACAAGTTAGCACTCGCGGGGAAGATGGTGGATGAAGATACCTTCACCTTAAATCTGCTCACCGGACTACCAGTGCATTGGGAGGAGATGAGGCACTCGGCAATGCTGCACAACGTGACGGACAGCTTCACTTTGCAGCGGATGATGATTCGGGAGCAGAGATATCACGATCTCATCACAAAGGATAACCGTGACCGGCGTCCACCTCGCATGGTTGGACAAGCACGTGGAGACTGCTCACCTTCTCCAACTGCAAAGGGCAATAACGGGAAGGAGGGGTCAATTGGGGAGAAAACGCATGGCAAGGATGGAGATGCAAGTCGCTCATCTCTAGTGTGTTGGTACTGCAAGGAGCCTGGCCACCCCTTCTTCAAGTGTACCAAGGCACCCCCTGGGTGGATACCACCAGGGTGGGAACCGCATACCCGCGGAAAGGCAAAACTGCATACCAGCGACAGCCGTTCGTCCTCCCCACGAAGGAGTTGCAGCCCCAAACGTGACAACAATGCATCAAAACAGCAAGGGGCAGCCGGGGAAGACAAACAACGTACTGTTACGTGCATTGCAATGATGGGATCGTCACAAGCTACCTTACCGCCAGCTAAAGCGTCATCTTGGATGCTGGATAGTGGATGCAGCCAGCACATGACTTCGGACAAGAGCTGGTTTGAAGAGTTAAGGGAGCTGGACGAACCTGTTTATGTGGAGCTTGCTAATGGGAGCGAGCTGAGCAGCAAGATGACACGAACGATCAGAGCAACGGCACCTGATGGGACAACAGTTCGGTACACTGACGTCCTCTACGTACCTGGCTTGAAGAGTAACCTGCTCTCCTATTGTCAGCTGCTGAAAAAGGGAGCGCACATCAATACAATTGCTAATGGAGACACGGAGGTCACCATGAAAGATGGAGAGGAGTACGTGCGGATTGGAGTTGGCAAGAACGTGGATGGAGTGCTCGTGGTGCAGTATGAGCATGCACTTACATCCGCCCATGATACTGGACATTCCCATGATGGCGCGTCGTCAAAGAAGCATGATTGTGAAGAGGGTACACGTTCCTGCAAACCTGGAGTGCAGTTGAGTGTCCGCTCTGCACATGCATCCGTTCAGTACCGCATGGCACACAAAGCCTGCATCGTGCGGAAGCGGGCACATGATGATACCACACATGAAGTCTCACCCCACGTTGCGGTGTGGACTTCAGGGGGAGAAGAAAAACGGTTCGCGATGGATTTGGGAGTCGATGGAGCTGACCCTGTAAAACAGGACTTACCTGGAGCTGATGAAGTTGCTGCAACCCAAGGAAGCGGAGATGCAGATGACTTACCTGCAGCAGGTGTCTCCATTTCGGAAGACGTGGAAAGTGTCAACGTTGGAGATGCGGTGAACGAGTCAAGAAAGAAGCATCTTACCTGCACTCTGCTGGCTGGTCAAGGCAATCAAGTCAAGGATTATGGTGTTGTACTCACCTGTGCAGCCACCTCGACCGGGCCTGCACACCATGGCATCACCTAACTCCACACTCACTCGTGTGCTTGTGGCTGTGTTCGCGGATGACTACAAGCACATGGGTGAGGGGGAGGTGGGGTGTGGAGTGTATCTGGTGGCCCAGGAGTGGGACATGGAGTCAAGGAGCATAAGTGGAAGACCTACTCACCAAGGTTGCCAATAAGCAGGGGGAGTAGGCAGAAAGGATGCAGCCGGTCGTCATACGTCGTATTGCAGCGGTATCGTGCGACTGGTTGCTGCTGATCAACGGCACCACCTGAGGGAATGATGGAGAACATACATTGGAACACGCATTACTGCATACCTGGTGTGGACGGTTCTCCATACCTGGTATGCATATCTCGGCATACTTGGTGTGCACTGCACACATGGAGTGGACATTTCTGCACATATGGAGTGCAGATTTCTGGGATACTTGGAGTTCGTCGGCATGCGCAACCCTCGAGCTGATGAAGTTCGGCAACTCCGGCTACTACCGTGTGTCGACTGGAGTGTATGGGGAGCATCACATGACAACATAGGTGAAGTTTGAGCAAACTTGGCATGATTGCCAAAGCATGGGGAGAAAGGCATACGAAGATGCAGCAAGCGCGGACACGAAAATGATGCAGCAGACGCGCAGCAGATCGTCAGCTGCTGATGAACGACAAGTCGTCACTTCTGTCGCGCGAAGTGTGCGCCCACCAATGCAGTTCCGCGCCAGCCGCACACCCTGTGTTATCTGCTACCGATTCACGTCATCCGCAGCTGCAGTCGTCGCAGACGCGCATCCACTGCGGTTTTGCGTCGTCGCACAGGAGGCGTGCGAAAAAGACAGCAGCATTGACAATCGCGTGTAGTCCAGTCTACGGTTTCGGAAATTTGGCGTGCGCTAAGGGCATTCCGCCATGACGATATGCGCATTCTGCCATGGTTTCGAGGAGATTTTGCCATGGAGCTGCTACGATTTCCTCAGCAGCAGCCACTACCCTCTAGATCTTGATCTAGAATGTGGAGATTGGAAGGAGGGAATGGAAAACGTGAAGGCATGTGGTTTGAGTTTGGAAGGCCCAAAGGTTGGGAGGGGAAAGGTGCTACAGTGACAAGCAGCTTGGCCAACACCAAACCCTAACTTGGTTTGGGCGCACCCCTACTTTGTGGTGGTATACCACCTCGACCACCCCATCCTCCAAGGAAATCGGATTCACTAAAACCTACAGCAAGGGGGAGTGTTGGAAATCCGAATACAGTATAACGAATACTGTATACCAGTGTGCTGTTTGGTTTTAGTGTAGTCCTCTTTATAAGCTTCCAGGTCCTACAATTATTGTAGGGGCCAGAATTATTGGAGGTCAGCATTATTGGAGGGTAGAGGGTACAATTATTGGTATACCATTATTGGTGTGAGTGGGTCATTCTGGAGGGGTAGCTGGATGCATATATACCCTGCTGTGTCACATCATTGAGTACACATTGTGTCATCATTCTACTTTTCAATGATCAATGCAAGATTTCTATCTTGTTCTTTTCTACAAACACGTTTCCGCTACGCTGGCACTATGCCTTTCTAGCACACATCTACCTGTTGATGTCAACTTTCGGGCAAAAAACAATATACCCTCTCAGGTGGTATGCCATTTAGGGAGTCATCAACCCTAAACACCATGCGGCAAGGTGTTTAGGGTTGGTCCCATCCATAGGGGTTATAATATGTTAGGGAGACGCATGTTTTGGAGGGATCAACCCTAAACACGGGAACCCGCCTGGTGTTTAGGGTTGATGATGCCTTGCCACTGGGTTTTATTTTTTTCTGAAGAAATTTTGAGTGGGATCAATCCTAAACACCTTGCCACATGGTGTTTAGGGTTGATACTCCCCGATCTGTTTTTGTGAAATGTTTCGACCAATCACGTTTCGACTTCCTTACGAGCGTTATAACTGAACGCTCTCAGATTGAAAATGCACGTAACTGTTCCCCGGCAGCGCTAACAGAACCTTTAGAGAAACTTTTGTCCGGTAGTACTTCTCAATCAACTAAAAACCCATTACTTTACCAAGGCCAATCTGTTCTTCTATCCATTCCGTTCCATCTCAAGGAAAAATAGTCCAGGGTTGCGGGTTTAGAAATTCGACACAATCAGGTCTCCTTGAGACGGGTCAAGTGAATGTGCCTGCCATCGAGATGGTTGAGCCCCATCACCAGTTGCCACGTGGATCATATTCTTCGCGATGCGAAAGCGAATCTTTCATTGTTTGGAATATTTTTGCCGATGCAGCATGTACATGCCCAATATTCGCGCCTCCACCAATAAGAAGACAAGGTCGTGTTTCCTTTCCACGGTGTCCATCCTGGTTTTATGTAAGTTATTCCGCACTCTGTGAGTCACTTCTCTACTCTACGGGTTGTGAAATCTAGGCTTCTTTTTTGGGTAGTTTCTCGGAAGGTAAATTACGGAGCAATTTTGCCTCAAGGAGGCTGAAAGATGATCCGCGCTGGGAGAATCTTTTGATGCCAATAGTTCTGCACAGGTCCTACAATCCTAGATAGACAAAGCTGGTTCACGACGACGGTGAGGCCTCATCTCGCGCCGCCAAAATCACCACTGTAAATTGCTCACAGAACTCAGATTAGTAAAACCTCGTTCTAATTTCCCAACCGAACTTGAACCCATGGCTCGCCGCACGCTCGCCCTGGCTATAGCCTTATTTGCCTTGGTACTGTCCCTCGCGACAGCTGCCAATGGCGCGTCTGTCTCGATGCTGCTCTCCAAGATGCGCGCCAGACCGCTCGGCGATCTCCAGGGAACGTCCATGACCTCCGCGCTGCTCCAGTTCGTCTCAGAGAAGGAGGGATTCAATGACGTCAACATAGCAACCATCCTTTCCCCGACTAACCAGGCGTGGGGATCGGCTGTGAGCGGTTACAACAAGACGCTGGACCCCCCTGGCTCCTCAGACATCATTCTCGAGGCGCTTATAGCAGTCAGGGACAGCGGTGGGGCTCCCGGCAAGCTATATGGCGCGTCGTCGGGCGCGCAGAACGTGCTGCTTCGTCTCATGAAGCAGCTTTCTGTGAACGTCAGCGGCATTACCGATGCCATCGTCAACGTGAGTATGGTGTGTCCTAAGCATGACCTGTGTGGCTGTATACGTCATAACGTTTTGAAGAATCTTCATCCTTCTTATCTCGTGATGCTGCACACATTCTCGAAATGAATGTTGAAAAAAAAAACAATCTTCCTTTCTTTTTTTCTTTCTCCCGTACTCCACAGGCCTCGAATGGCAATACCGTGACAAGCATGCTCAACACAACCATCTATGCTCTGAACCCCCTCAACTATAGCTCCGATTATTTCAAGTTTATGAGCTGCATGCCGGCCGGCGCATACGGCGCGAACAATAGGTCAGTTCCCAAGGGTCTCGCGAACGACACCGACGCCAAGTATGACGGCACGCAGTACGCGTACGGTCGCATCATTCGCAGCGAGAAGCTTGTCGCGAACGCCAAGAATCAGACGGTCAACAGCAAGTCCAAGGCGGACACTGATCTCAACGACATCTCCGTCGTTCTCTTCCCGGGAACCGTCCAGCTCACCGACACGGGTGCCACCGCACCCATCGGCTGGAACAACCCTGACAGTCCAGGTAAGCTCACGATGGGACCGTTGCTCTGCTGGTCGGCCGTTTTGAGATTTCAGATGGGTTTTTTTTTTTTCTGATTCGTTTTCGTAATGTCTTGTTTTGGCAGGTAACTCTCTCTCTCCACTGAAGCCTCTCGTGTTGACGCTGCTGCTTCTGCTTGCTGTTCTAGTTATTTAATTGGTTGCATGTGCTGTGCTGTGCACATTGCTTATTCGGAAATGAGTCCCCAATGTCTATAATGCCCCGGAACCTAATGCATCAATGTCCGCATTACCCACGAGATGGTTAACTGCTTTGCAATTTTGAACCATACCATTCAATCTCAGCAACTTGCACGGGGATGAGGCGCATGCTGGCTCACCGCTGCTGCGGCATGCACTATGCACTAGTAACATCCACTTTCCCAGCCCTATTCCCTCTCCCTACTCTCACCGATGCTCTCCATCTTCACCCCACTCCCTCTCCCTCTTGCTCTCCCTCTCTCTCTCTCTCTCTCTCTCTCTCTCTCTCTCTCTCTCTCTCTCTCTCTCTCTCTCTCTCTCTCTCTCCCTCTCTCTCTCTCCCTCTCTCTCCCTCTCTCCCTCTCTCTCTCCCTCTCTCTCTCTCTCTCTCTCTCTCTCTCTCTCTCTCTCTCTCTCTCTCTCTCTCTCTCTCTCTCTCCCTCTCTCTCTATCATAATCTTTCCCTCTTCCTCCCCCTCTCCCTCCCTCTATCCATCCCTCTCCCCCCTCTCTCTCTCTCTCTCTCTCTCTCTCTCTCTCTCTCTCTCTCTCTCTCTCTCTCTCTCTCTCTCTCTCTCTCTTCTCTCTCTCTCTCTCTCTCTCTCTCTCTCTCCCCATCTCTCTCTCTCTCTCTCGCATCCCACTCCCTCACTCTCACTCCCCATCCCTCCATCTCTCTATCTCTAACCACCTCTCACTCTCACTCTCACTCTCACCTCTCATCTCACTCTCCTCTCATCTCACTCTCCTCTCATCTCACTCCTCTCCTCTGCTCTCCTCTCCCTCCCCCAGTCTCTCACTTATCCTTTTCCTCCCTGTCTTTCCCTTCCCCCACTATCTCAATGATAGGGAGCAGGTACAAGCATGACACAATGAGCTAACCAGAGAACTAATCAAACCCTTACTGTACGTTACGGTAACTACGAGCGCCTACTAGTAAGTTACTGCATACAAACGGCCATACACCTACCAATCTAGTAGCAAACCGACCTGCAACACGAAGCAGGAGGGTAAGAGCCAAGCAATAGGGTGTTATGTACATATATATATGTATATATGTAGCACAGATTTTCCAGGACTACTGGGAACAAACCCCCAAAACGAGGGTGTTAGAGACTAAGGACGGAGTCTCCGAAGATTAGGTGCCTAAAATTCTCAAAATCGTATGCTTAGAATTCTGGACAGAAACGTCGCGCTCACAAAAAAACGCCGTCGACGAAAAGTTCACAAATAAAACTTCACTAAACCCATATATGTTGTAGCTCTATTCCGTGGCTACAATTCCCAAGTTGAATCGTACAAAAAGATGAAGTATATCTTGAGTTATCAATTTTGGCGCACTAGGGGGTATGCTGCCATAGAATCTTAACTCAATAACAATAGTCTCACACAAGTTCACAATTGCTACACAAGAGAGTTAGAGTAGGAATAAACCAGGTGGGAGGGGATGAGGAGGACGAGAGGGAAGGTCCCAAGAGAGTGTTGAGATAGGAGCACAAGTGGTAGTTAAGTTTAGGTAGGGCCTAGGCTTAGTAGCCTAGGCCAAGGGGAAGTCGAGAAAGTTGTGCCAAGGAGAAAGTCGAGAATGGGAATGATGTTCACTATAGCACTAGGGTACATATAGCAAACAGAGCATGCAAAGAAGGTGCACCACCAACAGTTTATAATAACTACACTAAACTACAGCTACAGGCAGTTACATATATATTCAAACACTCCCCCATAACTGCCTGCAGCAGGAGTTTGTGCAGAACACAACCTGCAGGGGTACACCAGCAATAGCAACAGCAGGCACGGTAACAGAGGAGGTACAGCAGCAAAGGGACAGGCGACAACAAGACATTCCTGCCACCCCCTTACTCTCTTCCCCCCCCGACCACAGGAGGGGCAGCAGGGAGAGTGAGGAGGCGGGCTGGCTCTGGCTGGTCACCCCCTCCATCTCCTCCCCCTCCCCCTCCCCCTCCCCCCCACACTGCTGCAGGAGCAGCAGAGGGGGGAAGAGAGGAGAGGTGGAGGGACGGCTGCTGGTTGGTCTCACACCCGCCATCCCATTGCCACTCCCCCGGCTCCCCCACACCCTCACACCCTCCCCCCCAGCGGCAGCTGCAGCAGTGGGAACGAAAGGAGGAGGAGGGGAAAGGAAGCACACCACCCATCACCCCCACACCCGCCACCCCCATACCCTCCCCCCCACGGCTGCAGGGAGACGAAGGAGGAGGGGGTGGGCAGGGAGAAAGCCGCAGAGCGGCTACAGAGGGTCGGTGCGGGTAGGTCAGGGGCGGCTGCAGCGAGTGCAGGCGCGGGGTGAGGCAGAGGTGGCTGCACCGAGTGCAGGAGCGGGGGCGGCAACTCCAATGTTCGTAACTTTCTTGTTCGTGCTCCGATTGAAGTGATACTTGGTTCGTCGGAAAGCTCTTGAGCAGAGGAGTCACTTCAGATATCTGCTCAAGCCAAATAACATTCACACACACTCAGAAAAACCAAGCCGCACAAAACACAAATTCTTACACACTCTCAGACCACGCATGCAGCGCACGAACACATGATGGGAGGCAGACAGACGTGAATGCATGTGATTGCATCACACAACAAACTCCCCCTCCGGCTGCCAACCATCATCCCACATGCCATAGCTCAAGCATGCATCCTCAATGCACACTCATCCCAGCAAGCTTCATGCCCTTCCAATGCTCAGATTCAGCCAGGCGCTTGGTGAGAATGTCAGCCGCCTGCTGATGGGTCTTCACAATCTCCAGTCGCACCTCCTTGTCCAGGAGCCTCCTCACCCAGTGCCACTTGGGCCTGATGTGCTTTATCAGCCCATGAAGGCAAGCGTTCTTGGCAAGCTTCACTGCCGACTCGTTGTCACAGAAAATCACGGTTGGCTCCTTCTGGCACACTCCGATCTCCTCCAGCAGACGCCTCAACCACACCACCTCCTTTGCCCCATGATGTAGGGCCATGTACTCTGTCTCAAACGAGGACTGCCCCACCTCGTTCTGCTTCTTGCTGCGCCAGCTCACTGCACCACCTCCAAACAGGCACACATAGCCTCCAATACTGGTGCCATCCGTCTTCACAGAGTTAAAGCAAGCGTCGGTGTAGCAGGTCAGGAGCATCTCCCCCTTGCCCAAATCAGCTGCACCCCTCTGCAGCCTCTGTCGCAAAGCACTGTACTCCAAGCCCACTGATGCCGTAGCGCTCACATAGCGGACCAACCTCTTGACCGCTTCCAGCTGCTCATGACTGGGGCGTGAAGCCACACTTGCAAGCCTGGATGTAGCAAAGGCAATGTCAGGCCGCGTGCGGTTAGCCGCATAGTTGAGTGCCCCAACCATGGAATGAAAAAGCTTCCTATCACTCTCACCCACCACCTCCTCATGAGCACAGGGCTCCACAGTGAACCCTGAAGGCAGTGGGGTGGCTGGCTTTCCTCCATCTTGCAGCCCATACTTCTCAGCCAGCCCCTCACAATACTTCCTCTGATGCAACCTTAACACTCCCTTGTCAAGGTCCCTCTCCACATGCATCCCTAGGTAATACTTCCTCTGATGCATCTCCCTTAAACTGCATCTCCAGCATCTCCTCCACACGCTCAAACATTGCAGACGACTCAGAGAAGAGCAGGATGTCGTCCACATACACCAGGAGCATGAGAAACTACTCCTTCTCTTGCAGCAGGAACAAGCTGTAATCACACTCGCTCTTCTTGAAACCCCCAGCCAGCAATGTCTCCTCTAACTTGTGGTACCATGCACGAGGAGCCTGCTTCAGGCCATAGATGGCCTTCTTCAGCCTGCACACCCTGCCGCTCCCATCATCCAAACCCTCAGGCTGTAACATGTACAGCTCCTCTAGAATGATCCCATTGAGGAAGGCGGTGGTAATGTCCATCTGCTTCACCCGCCATCCACGGTTTGCTGCCATTGCCAATGACACCCCCAGTGTTGTGCCTTTCCCCACATGAGCATAGAGCTCGCTGAAGTCCTTTCCCTTTGTCTGCTGAAACCCTTTAGCCACAAGCCTTGACTTGTAGCGGGTCAGCTCCCCATCTGGTCCGTACTTATGCCTGAAGATCAGCTTGGAAGATATGGCCTTCTTCCCAGGAGGCATCTCACACAGCTCCCACGTCTCATTCTCCAGCACAGAGTCATACTCCTCCTTCACACTCTGCTTCCACTTCTCAGCGTCAGACCCGCTCAATGCCTGCGCTAACGTCTTGGGCTCAGGGACGGTTGCCCAGTAGAAGTTAGCTATCTCATCCTCATCACACTGCTCAGCCACACTCCCAGCCCGTACCACATTTGGCTTGCCAAAGCTCGGATAGGTCAGCCGGTTAGGAGGGCGCACATCCCTCCTAGGACGGTCAGCCGGACGTGCGGCACCTTGTGGAGCACCTTGCTGCTGCTGCTGCTCCTCCTCCACCTCAGGTTCTCCCCCATCCTTAGTCACCCCAGAGATCTCCTCCTCTGAGACAGTGACCTGCACTTGTCTCGAAGGCCGCTGCTCCTCATCGGCCTCAATGATCAGCGATGTAGTAGGAAGCTTCTGCTGCTGCTGCTTCCACTCCTTATAGTGCAAGGACTCAAGGAACTTCACATCCCTTGACTGAATCAGCTGCTGGCTGGTCAAGTCCCAAATCAGCCAGCCCTTGTGATCCTTAGCAAGCCCCAAGTGCACACCCCATCTCCCAGAAGCCTCCAACTTTCCCCTCTTCTCCTTAGGCACATAAAACACCACCATGCACCCAAAGGCTCTCAGCATGTTCACAGCTGGTGCACTCCCATACCACTTGGTGTAGGGGACCCACTGCTTGTCCCCAACTGTTGCCAGCACCCTGTTCTTCACAAGGGCGACCTGCCACAGTGCAGTCACCCAAAACGCATCCGGCAGCCCTGCACGCCCAATGAGAGTGCGAGCATCTTCCTGCAGGGTCCGGTTGAAGCGCTCAGCCAC